TAGTTGAAAGTTGCCATGAAAGGCACTAGCAGGTAATATGCTTATATATATATATATATATATATTCAGTTTAGAAATACATTCAAATCTTTTCAATTTCTCCAAAGACATTTTTCTGTTTGAAGTCTTCATCGGCAAATTGGTTCCATTTTTGTCTTCTTAAGCTACTTTTAGCTACTGTACTGCTATTTTCAGCTATACTGCTGCTTTTGGCAAGTTTGGCTACTTTCAACTACTGCATTGCTGCTTTTAGCTACTGTTCTACCATCTTCAGCTACTGTACTGATGCTTTTAGCTACTGTTGTGCTATTTTCAGCTACCATACTGCTGCTTTTTGTAACTGTTGTGCCACTTTCAGCTACCATACTGTTTTTAGCTACTCTTCTATTTTCAGCTATCACACTGCTGCTTTTAGCTACTGTTTCACTATTTTCAGCTACAACACTGCTACTTTTAGCTACTGTACCACTACTCTCAGCTATCATGCTACTGCTTTTAGCTACTGTTTCGCTATTTTCAGCTACAACACTGCTGCTTTTAGCTACTGTACCACTACTCTCAGCTATCATACTACTGCTTTTAGCTACGGTTTTGCTATTTTCAGCTACCACACTGCTGCTTTTTTGGTAACTGTTCTGTCACTTTCAGCAACCATTTTTGCTGCTTTAGCTACTGTACTGCTACTTTTATTTAGCATACTGCCAAATTTACCTTATCGCTACCATTCTGATTTGTTTAGCTACTATTTTGCTTATTTTAGCTCATGTCAATTTAAGCTACTGTTTGGATGAGTTTAGCAACTATTTGTTATTAATTTCTAAGTTTGTTATGCTAATATAGATATCTAACTTGCTCATTTTAGCTATTAGCTATAAATTTGCTCAGTTTTTACCTACAATTTAGCAAATTTGGACTATTAGCTATAAAGCAAATTTTAGCTTTTAACTAAGGGTTTGCTGATTTTAGCTTTTTCTTTTTGCTTGGATTAAATTCAATAACTCAATTTCAGCCCGTTCCAAAAATGTCCACAATCATCGAGGACTCAGCACTCACACTCCATCCATCATCCGTCATCCATCCATCATGCATCCATCCGCCCATCATTCATTTTCTTTGCCTGCTTGTCCTTTCTGGCTAACTTTTTTTAAGTTACATTTGCTTAAATTGCAAAAAGATTAAATAGAAGTTTACCAGTTTGGTTTTATAGTCAATCGCAGCACAAAAGCAACCTCAAATAGAGGTGTTATTGATCTTAACATTATTTTAGATTAGAATTCCTAATCTGGTGGTTTTTAACCTCAGCAGAGCTTTTGATTCAGTTGATCTTGTAGTTCTTCAGCATCTTGAGCACTGTTTGCGTTTAGGAAGTTCCCTTCTCAACTGGTTCAGAGTTGCATTTGGCGTTCCACAAGGGTTCGTTCTCGGTCCTTGTCCATTTAGTTTGTAGTATATGCTCTCACTTACGTTCATCATTACACAATGTATCTTTTCACTCATGTATGCTGATGATCCATAGATGTACTTATCAGTTTGTCACCCATCTTAATCTTGTAAACAATCTTATACAGTGATTTGCTGAGGTCAAATACTGATTGTCAATGAACTTCCTAAAGCCACACCAGGACAAAGCAGAAATTATTTTTGCAAATACAAATTAACTTGTTTTGAATGAATAATCAGTTCATTACCATTTATTGTCATAAAATACCATTGTAGTGAGTTTGAATATAAATATATATATAGTTATGAAATATTTGATAATCTACAGCATCATTATGATGAAGATTTAAAACTAAAACAGATTTTGTGTCATCAGTCAGAAGATGAATGTTTGTGTACGAAGAATAAAAGCAAAAAGCTGTATTCAGTCATTCTTGGTTTTATTATTAATGTTAATAAATTATTAAATTTAAAAAATATATTTCCTCATAAACATACAAGCGCTCATAAAACATTTAAATCATATACAATTTTAATTGAGCATAACACTTATGTTAGGATCAAGGCCTCACTTGGTTTTAATTACCTCTAGATCTACAGAAACTTTGATTTTTCTTTCTCCTCTGCGTCATCTTTACCATTTCACTCGATCTCTTTTTGACACACAATGATTTTTAGTTATTTTTACACTAAAATCGATCATTTCAAAAGTTTATGTCCTGGATTATAATCTTTTCATTTTCCACGTTGACTTGAAAGCTTGATAGATGAAGTTTTTCTTGTCCCATCGGTGCTTCTTCACAGAGTTTTCCTCTCTCCCTGCACCAGGCGGCCCCTGAAGGCCCAGCTATCCTGTGGAGTTACAAGTTATACTGTAAGTTCATACTGTTTTGTTTCTTGGAATTGAATTTCTTTCGTTTTATTTATAGGAAAAATGTTCTTGAGCTTGATGAGCCGTTGATCTAATGTCAAGTTGGACCAGATTCACATCAGTCAGACCAAACAGGAGATGAAATCTGTTTGGCTCCTGTACTCCCTAACACTTCAGGCTCAAGATGAGGCAGCTGATCGACAGTTTTTCCACAAATGGTTGATGTTAATCTGAGTTTTAAAACATCCAGATGAAGCTACGAGGTGACGGTCAGGAAGATAAATCCTTGTGGGTTGCGGGGCAGATTGTTTCTACGATAATTTGACAAAAGAAAAGCGTACGGGAGACTCCACAAACAGGTGTAAGAAGGAAACGTGACTTTTTGTCATCAAGGTGCAAACCAAACACCTCACCAAGCCGAGAACACCATCCCTATAGTGAGGAAGCACGGTGGTGGTAACATCATGATATGGGGATGCTTTTCACCAGCAGGGACTGAGAAACTGGTCAGAGTTCAAAGAAAAGATGGATGGAGCAAAATGCAGATAAATTCTTGCGTTTGAGTCTTTCCAGAGACCCGAGACTGGGACCAAAGTCCACCTTCCAGCCGGACAACGAAGGAAGGAGAACCAGATGAAGGTCCTGGAGTGATCTAGTTAAACTCTGAACCTCAGTCCAGCTGAGAGTCTCAGATTTAAAGATTGTTGACTCGAGCAGCACCGCCCTGAAAAAGCAGGAGCCTTTCTAGTTGAACGGAAAATGTTGAATGTTTGTCCCACATTTTCTTTTTTCATATTTATCCAGAACAGGGAAAATACTAAAATCTAGTTTCCTTCATCTCAAGGCCCGTAAGCACGCAGAATCACGCTGCTCTGCAGTCTCACATCGAGTTAAATGTAGCTGATGACAGAAACAGTTAATGTTCGATTTGCTGCATCTAAATAATAAACCATGAGCTAATTCGGCTGTTGTTGTTATTACTGCTTAACATCCAGTAAGTTTCATTTAAATAGCTTGGATGTTTAAATAAAGTCACAAGTCCCGCCTACTTTGTCACCTTTAATCACTCCTAAGTTAAACACATGGATGATGTAAGTGCAGCCTTTTAGTTTTTAATTGACGTGCAGGAAGAGCCGCCTCACAGTCGGTGCTTCCACTTCGGCTGCCTTCACTGACATCAGCGCTGTGGCTCTGGACCAGACCGCTCGTCGTGCTGAGCGTGTAACGTGCGGCGCGTAAATCGGCTCGGTTGTTTCGTCGGGCTGAGATCGTGGGTAAAAACGTAAACAGTAATAAAAGCGAGCTCAAACGTTCCTGACCTTGAAGGCGACGTCGTCGACGCCGTGCTTCCTCTTTACGATCTCTTTCACCTCGTTCTCAATGTTTTCCTGCGTGGTTCCTTTCACGTCGATGTAGTAACAATCACCGCTGGCGTAGTGGCAGGAGATGGCCTGGAGGGCACACACACACACACACACACACACACACATTGTATTTGTTTTGCCTAACATCTTGGGCTAACTGTTAGCTTGTTAGCTCTATTTCTCTAAACTGATGCGTTCCAAAGAGGTATGTGCAGCAGGTAAGATATTAATTGTTCTTATTCCTCACCACAGAACCCTGCTTCAAAAAGTCTGAACTGCTCCTTTAATCCAGGCCCTGTTAGACGTTTTGTTTGAGCCTTAAAAGTACAGACAAACAGCGTGACACAGGTGGATTCTGGGAGTTGCGGTACCTTGCGGAAGCCGTGCGTCTGGTTCATGCCGGAGCCGTGGATGAGCAGCGGGTGGAAGAAGACCGTGTCGCCCTTCTCCATCTCCACGTGCACCCTGGGGTGATCCGGGTCGTAGTTTCTCACTCCGTGGTACATCTTGTTCACCCCGTCCTGCGGACACGCGCAGTGCTCAGACAGAGGATACACTCGGGACTCTAACGGCGTTCCGTCTGTGTTTTTCTGCACCTCCCAGTCGGGGTAGTCGTGCTCCTGCAGGGAGCGCTCGTGACTTCCTGGCAGGACGACCAGGCAGCCGTTCTGCCTGTTCACTCTCTCCATCGCCGTCCAGGCGCAGACGATCCGATCCGATGGGCGGAACGGGAAGTAATGCAGATCCTGGTGCATCGGGTGTCGAGACGTCTTCTTACCTGGAGCGACAGGAGACGTGAGCATCACTTCACTGCCCAAACATTAAAACACAAAAACAAATTAAATTTGACGCATTCACTCTGTTTTTTCTTGTTCTTTTTATCTTTTATACTTCATTTTAAATCTTTTACTTCTACACCCTTTTATTTTAGCCGTTCATTGATGAAAACTTTCAGCTCAATCAGGAGATGGGCGCTCTGACTTTTGTAGCTTTTGTACTTTTCAAATTTTTATTTACAAATATTTTCTCCGTAGAAATGCTTTAAGATCTTTTGAATTCTTTCGGAAGCGTTCTTTCTGAAATTTGCTTCAGCAAACTAACAGTTTTTGTTTTGTGCTCATTTTAGCTACCATTCTGCTATTTGTAGCTAGCCATTTGCTATGTTTAGCTACTGTTCTGCTACTTTTAGCTTTTGACTAGTGTTTTCCTTCCACTAGCTAGCTATTTGCTACTTTAGGCTTTCATTTTGATACTTCTAGCTTTAAGCTAGTTAAATGTTCTGCTTTTTTTTTCTTTTTCTTTTTTTTACGTTTTAGCTAGTGTTTCGCTCCTTATAAGCTTTTAGCTAGCTTTTTGCAACTTTTAGTTTACTGTTATTCTTTTGCTAAGTTCAGTTTTAGCTAGTCTTTTGCTATGTTTAACATAGTGTTGGTTACTTTTAGCTAGCCTAGCGTTCTACAGCTTTTAGCTTTTAACTAGTGTTTTCCTTCTGTTGGCTAGCTATTTGTTACTTTAGGTTATAGGTTTAGTTTAGTGTTTTGATACTTTTAGCTTTTAGCTAGCACACTGTTCTGCTTTTTTACTTTTTAGCTAGCCTTTTGTGACTTTTAGCTTCTTGTTATTCCTTTGCAAAGTTCAGTTTTAGATAGTCTTTTGCTACATTTAGCTAGTAGTTGGTACTTTTACCTAGACCTTGCGTTACTTTTGGCTAGTCTAGTGTTTTGCATCTTTTAGCTTTTGACAAGTGTTTTCTTCCATGAGCTAACTATTTGCTTCTTTAGGCTATCATTTGGTGTTTTAAAACTTTTAGCTTTAAGTTAGCACAATGTTATGCTCTTTTACTTTTTAGATAGTGTTTCACTTCTATTAGCTTTTAGCTAGCCTTTTGTAACTTTTAGCTTCTTGTTATTCTTTTGCTAAATCAGTTTTAGCTATTATTTTGCTACATTTAGCTAGTAGTTGGTACTTTAACCTAGCACTTTGTTATAAAAGTAGCCAAATGCTAGGTAAAAGCTAGTGTAGTGCTCTGCATCTTTCAGCTAGTGCTTTGCTTCTTGTAGCCTTCAGCTCTTCTCACATGATCCTGTAAGTACCAGACTGCTCTGACCTGCATCAGGAGGTTTGTTGATCAGCATGGTGTGCATGGCCATGATGTTGGGTCCAGTGAAACTCTCCACGTACCGCAGGATCTGAACCAGAGGGGAACCGGCTTCTGTTAGTCAGGTTTAAAGACCCAAAGCAGCAAACAGATCGTTCTCTTCTCTGTAAATAATGTTTATCTGAACGTTTACGTAACGTCTCCGATGTCAGTGAGCTCTGTTAGCAACCGAACTTTATTCAGTCGGCACTTTATAAACAGTTCAGCTAAAACTAAAGACAGAAGCAGAGTGAACACTGTGCTGAATTTGCTGAAAATTACTCAAGAAGCTAAAGTTGTGATGCTAAAGCTAAATGAGGCAGAACACTGTCTAAAAGCTAAAAGAAGAAAAATGCTAGCTAAAACCAGTAAAACTAGCTATTAGTCAGAAAGGCTAGTATAAAAATAGCAAAATGCTAGCTAAAAGTTGCAAAAGGGCAATTAAAAGCTCAAAATAGCTAAAAGCAAGCTAAAAGCTAAATTAGCAAGAGGGTTGCTAAAAATAACAAAAGTTGGCTCAAAGCTAAGTGTAAAGGAATGTTAGCTAAAACTAGGAAAAGGCTAGTAGTATTAGCAAAATGGTAGTTTAAAGCTAAGTGTAGCTTAAGAAGACATAAACAGAGCCAATAGCTGAAGCCGAATTTTAAAAGAGAACATTTCTGAAGGAACTGAAGAGATTTCTGTGTATTTCTAGGTGGAAAAAATTTGCAAATAAAGTTAAGTATTTTAAAAAATGTAGAAGTTACAAAAACCAAAAGTGACAGCATCCATCTCCTGAACGAGCTGAACGTTTTGACAGATCAACAGCTAAAATAGCAGAAAGTATGCAGAGGACAAACAGCATAAAGGAAAATAACAAACAGCAAAACAACAGTGTGAAAGATGATGACTCAGCGTTTAGCCGTGTGTAAAAGATGATGACTCAGCGTTCAGCCGTATAACAGTGCTTCTCCAACACGATTAAAAACACCGGCATGTTGCTCTACCTGCGGTAACGAGCAGTAACGAAACAGTTCGGGGCTCTCCTGAAAGTCCTGCAGTTTGGAAACGGCTCTCTGGTCCGGAACGAACTCGGACTTGGCGATCGCCACGTCCCGCATCACGATCAGGCCGGGAACCTTCACTTCTCCCCGACAAATCCGTTCGAACTCCTTCCTGAAAACGGAGGTGCACAACGTGGTTCACTTTTCAAACAACCTGGTTTCACTCGGAGTACGAAGTGCGTACCTGAACCTCTGGATGTCCTCGTCAGACACCAGATCCCTGATGACGAGGAAGCCGTTCTCCTCGTAGAAGAGCCGCTGCTCTGGGGTCAGCACGCCCGTATCAGAAGAGTACCTGTCCCAAACAGTGACAGAAACAACTGTTCGCATTAAATCACAAACTTTGAACGAGTATCATCTGGAGCATGGTACGATGTTGCAAATACAGTGAAAGAAACGTCTCCGATTAGATAACAAATAACTGAACTTTTACTGACACTGGAAGCAACGACTGATTTTTTTATTTATTTTTAACAGAAACTCGTCATGAACCTTCAGGTGAGGTGGTACCTCAGTCTCTGCAGGGGGCCGGAGGTGACGGCGTGAGCAGATGCCGCCTCACAGATCTGATGTCGGTCGGTTATGAACAAACCTGATAAGAAGGAGCACGGCGTGGACGCAGAGTAAAACTCTACGTACCAACTGTAAACCTTAGACACGATATTTTAGCATTGCTTCGTTTCCAAATAAGCCATAACGTTAATAAACATAAATAAAGTTTTTCCGAGTGGAAAAACTACGTACAAAGACGCCGCCTTCAGAACAATAATTGTGATTTTGTGTTTTATTCTCAGCTGCTTCGACGCTTCGTCTGGACTTTGCTTTTATTTTGTAGATTAGCTGCTGAGTCGGGGTCATTGTTCTGTTGCGTCATGACCCAGTTTGGTGCAACCATCAGCTGTCGGCCCAGGTCATCACCCCTCCACCACCGTGTTTGACTGTTGGTACGTTTTCAAAATGACCCGACCTTCTTCAGTTAGATGTCCAGCAGCACCTGCAGCCTTCAGAACATTTCACAGACGTCATATCGGACCACTGGACGTCCCTCTCTGAACAGAAACAAACCTGTCGGCTCAAAGTGGATGAATAGTTTCTCAATAAACGTTTACATCGCCATCGGTTTTGCAAATAGTAGCTGTAGCTCCTCTTGTGCAGCGTGGGACCTGCAGGAACATATCGATGTAATGCCAAATCAGCAGCGGTGTAAAGGTTACCAAAACAGCACTTGCATGAAATGCTAAAACTTTGAGGGGATTTGAGGCAACAGCAATCCACTCTTTGTCTTTGTGTTTCTTCCCCTTCAGAGAACTCCTTAAAATATTTGTTTATATCCTCTCCAGGGATCCCTACTTTAAAAGATCTGAACTTAATCAAAGGTTTGATTATCAGCACCTCTGTGTTCCTCCTGACTAATAAAACCGGAAGTGCTTACAGATGTTGCTCAGCTGGTTGTGTTTACCTATTTTTAGAACTTTATATAAAACTGAATAGTTATGTTTTTAAGTCTTGAATGTTTTACGACAAAAGAGAGACAAAAAAAGCCAATAAAAATAGTTACAAGTATGTTATAAAGTTAAACGCCTTCAGGCTGAACCAAACCGTTAGCTGCGCAGTTAGCTAACATGCTAACTAGCTTATCCAACAAAAACACCCGCAGAGATAAAACAGCAGAACAACTTAAGAGTTATAGAGAGTTATAGACTATAAGAATAGGTTATAAAGTTTTTTATAAGTTTTTATAAACCGTCAGGGCCGGTTCCTGTGGGTCCGGGGTCCAGACCGCTGCCCGGTGCCTGGAGCTCCGCTGCCGGCTGGAGAGCCAGCCTGGCCCCGAGGCAGCAGCGGTTTAACTAAATAAAGGATACAATCGAAGCCGATGATCGATCGAGATGATTGATCATCAGTCGGAGTCTCTCCGCAGCGCGAGACATTCTGCTGTCCTGTCAGTTTAACAGATCAGTGGAGCGAAGTGGGTCTGAGTTCGGGTTTTATTGGAGTAAAGTTCAAAAACAAGGACGGAAGCCCGGATGTGTGGAAGAACATTAATGCCACAAAAAAGTCGCGATTCTGCGTTTTAAAGTTAATTTTATGGGGTTTAAGGTAAATATTATGACTTTTGAAGTCATCGTTGCATCTGAAAGTTACAATTATTTTATTTAATTTTTTCGTCTGCTCCACAGCAAATTAACTCCCACAAAGTCCTGCAGACACCGAGCTACCACAGCCCTCTGTGTGGAGCAGAGAGCTGCCATACAGGGCGCCTGGGGGAGCAGATGGTGGGGGTCAAGGGCCTTGCTCAAGGGCCGAGTACTTGCAAGGGCCCAGAGTGGGGCAAACGAGATCGGAGACAGGTGTGGGTGCTTCACCTTTCCCACCCACATTTTGATGTTGTCGGTGCTGAGAGTTGAACAGACAATCTTCCGATCACAGGCCCACCTTCTCCAACCTCTGCACCACCACTCCCATGATTAAGACTTTCAACTCTAAAACTCATTATTATGAGTGAACTTCCATCCATCCATCCATCCATCCATCCATCCATCCATCCATCCATCCATCCATCCATCCATCCATCCATCCATCCATCCATCCATCATCTTCCTCTTGTTCTGGACTCAGGTCTCGGGGGCAGCAGCTTGAGCAGGGAGGTCCAGACATCTCTCTCCACAGCCTCTTCCAGTTCTTCTGCGAGGACTCCAAGGTGTCCTGGGTCTTCCCTGGGTCTTCCCCAGGGTCTCCTCCCAGTCTGACATGCCTGTAGCACCCCCCTAGGGAGGTGTCCACGAAGCATCCTTACAAGTAAACGGACTGTACTTATATAGCACCTTTCTATCTTATTGAGATACTCAAAGCTCTTTACAACAATCTGTGCCTCATTTACCCGTTCATACAGCTCTATACTAGATCTGTACAAAGATAATAGAACAAATCATTCTAAATCACTTCTTTTGAGATCACATTCATATACCGATGGGACACACATCAGAGGCAATGAGGGGTTCAGTGTCTTGCCCAGGGACATTTCTGCATGTGTCTGCTGGTGGATTCGAACCCCCAACTCTTGCATTGGAGGACGACTGCTCTAACCAGAGTTCATGACCGTAGGTGAGGGCAGGAACGTAGACCGACCAGTAAACAGAGAGCTTTGCCTTACAGCTCTGCTCCCAATGGACCAGCACAGAGTCTGCAATACTGCAGATGCTGCACCATCTGTCAATCACGCTCCTTCCTTCCCTCACTCGTGAACCCCGAGATACTTGAACTCCTCCACTTGAGTCAGAACCTCACCCTCGACCTGAAGAGAACAGTCCACCCTTTTCTGACTGAGGACCACGGCCTCAGATTTGGAGGTGCTGATTCTCATCTCAGCCGATGACACCATCAGGACCACATCATCTGCAAAAAGCAGAGATGGAATCCTGAGGCCACCGAACAAGAATCCCTCCCTGGCTGCACCGAGAAATTCTGTCCATAAAAGTTATGAACAGAATCGGTGACAACGGGCAGTCCTGATGGAGTCCAAATCCCACCCTGATGGGGTCTAACTTACTACCAGCAATGAGAACCATATTCTTGCACCGCTATAGGGACCAAACAGCCTGTAGCAGCGGGCCCCCAAGCCAGATTTAGAGCGCCATGGCCACTAACCATGACTTGTACCTCTCCTGCAGGCGGTGGGCCCACAAGAAGGCAAACCCATGCTGATCGTTCACGCTGAGCCCGACTGGGCCCGGTGGGTAAAGACTCGGTCTCCGGGCTCTCACCGACGAACCCCTCCCCCAGGCCTGGCTCCAGGGTCGGGCCCTGGCAACCCACATCCGGGCAAGGGACACTGAGCTCCTTACTGTTTTCTGTCCATCTGAATCGCTCTTTGTCTGGCCGGTCAGCGAGGACCAGTCTGTCTTGGGACCAGGGTCCATCGCCCCCAACAGCTCCTAGGATCATTCAGGTGCACAAATTCCTCCACCATGATAAGGTGGTGATTCAAGAAGGAGGACACTGAATGAACTTCTTAATATGAAATGAAAAACTCTTAAAAAAATATATATATATTTTAATTTTGATCATTGAAAATGGACAGAGAAAAGACTGCTCAAATATAATAAAACAGTTAAAGCAATTCAAACAGCATGAATAAAACTTGAAGAACAATTTATACAGGTTGTTTATGGCATTTTTATCCACTTATATCTAATTTATTAGCTGTAGAGCTAAAGTTGGAGGGTTATCCAGCAGAGAGCGCCACACAACAACAAATAAACAGGAAACACAATGCCCAATATTAGTAATTCTTCTAAATACTTATCAAAACTACATCAAACAATAAGTATTCACAACTTTTTGATGACACGTTTTATATACATAAATAAAATTCCAACTTAGATTTTTTTTTAATTAATAATTGATTGTAATGTTTATATTAAGACATAAACATAAAGATAACATAAAGACATAAACATAAAGACCTGATTTGTTGAAATCAGGTCTCTCTTGTAAATGAGTCCTCGAGGCTCAATGGGATTTACCTGTATAAATAAAGGTTGATTGATTGATAAAGATAACTTAAAAATTAATATTCAGATACCTGAGTGGATTTTCACATTTCATTTTGATGCATGAGTTATTTTTTTACTAAAATGATTTCGTGTGTGTGTGTGTACTTTTTCTTTTTTTTAAAAATGTATTTATTACATAATTACAATAAGTTTATCTAGATATTGTACGGGCTTTAAATACTTTTAAATATGCTATTTCTTGCCTGTATGGAACATAAAACAACAAAAAAAAAGTTATGTATTTTCAAAAACAACTCTCCGAACAACGATGAAGGTGCTTTTATTTTGAACGTTTTGACCGGAAACTCTTCGAACGTTACGAGGCTTTTATCTTGAAAGCGCTTGTAGAAGACAACGGATGGTCGTCGCTATCGGAGTTTTATTTTGAAGCGGAAACGGAAGTTAGCCGTTCATTTCGGCCGCTAGCTTAAACGGTCGCACCACTCCCGTGTCAGTCGACATGAAGGTCCTCCTCCTGCCGCTTTAAACTGCCTTCACGTCTGAACCGACGACATTTTTTAAATTTCTTTAAGGGGGTTCGGTCTCGAGCATCTCGCGCCCCCACTCATTCGGTGTCGGTCGGAGGATACGTGTTTTTTAGTGTCGGAGCTAAACGGAGCTACAGTGTTTCCACAGTTTGGTGGGTGAATAAAGCCGAGGAGGAAGAGGGCATCCGGCCCTGGCAGCTCCGGAGGATTCGGCTCGAACCGAACCCGTTTTCAGGTAATTTATTTATTTATTTATTTTTGGAGGGGGGCTAAATATCATCCTGTCCGATGATGGACACAGCGTTTCTTCGTCTCCCGTTGCAAAAGACGAATAATCAACACCGTCAACGAAGAGGAAACGGTGACTTTAAGTGCAATTTTATCTTGTTTTCACGTTTCAGAATATTTCTGTCATAAAAACATAACGTCAGGTGCAGCAGTTTGTTAATACATCTCATATAAACCACCAAAATACCTCTTAAAGACGACAAAATGCTACAAAATTATGAAATAAATGCAGGAATATTGTTTAAAAATGTGTAAAATCTACATGTGGACGCACGGTTTGAGATATGTTTATGCGTCACATTTAATAATACATCATGTTCTCTTCATGCAGAGGTCTTTTTATTATTTTTTTTACACATTTATACTGAGAAGTGTGTTTTTCCCCATCAAAACAAATAAAGCTTATTTCAAAGCCTCCTGCAGACATGGGGTCTGGCAGTAAAGAAATGTTTTAAGATGATTTTACCATCACAACCAGTTGCATTAGGATGCAGCTGAGATATGCAGCTGAAATGAGAGATGATAGTGGGTCTTTAGTGAAAATGTTCCTCAGACACAGACGCGCGTGCAGAATGTTTTGCTTCTTTTTGTGCAGAAATGGAGCTGCATCAGGGGTGCACCGCCCTGCCGTCGCCCTGGCAACGCAGAGATGCTGTGAAAAGTTGTCATAAACACCCAGCTACCTAAAGATTACACAAATTACAGTCGCAGTTTTCAACCACTCTTTCTTTTCCAAGTTAAAAAGCAGCACAGGCCAATAGTTTTTCTTTATACAAACACACAAATGTTCCAGAACGTTTTGGACGTTTCTGTGCAGATTTGAATGAATTTCTGCAGCTTTGCCCAAATAACACAACTGACTGTTTGGACTAACAAGAAAACTTTTAATTTCATTTAAAACGTGAACGACGCGTTGCACTTTTAGCTACGATGCAAGTGTGGTCAGCTGTTTTTGAGGTGGCGCTTAGTTTATGTTCAGCTTTTAGGAAACATGGACAGGAAATGGTTAAAAAACTAAACTCGAGGCTATAAACTAATGCAGTTCTACAAAGTGTAAATATAATATTTAACCACGTCATGAGACAGTTAAAAAAAAAAAAAGATTAAACTAACAAAATCTGTACAAATTATTTCTCGTAACGGTTGATGTGTTATTAAGACTTAAGCTAAATTTGTGACTACCACGCGCGTTTGTTTACGTATTAAAGCTGCGAGGTTTCTGAAAATAAGTACACGACGGTGGCGTCTGGACGAGCTGTTTGGGCTCTTGAAGTCGGATCATATCAGTGTGTCGGTACGCGTTCACACCAAGATTTGTTGAGTTAAGGGCTTTGTTTACATTGAGTGCATACCTGCTGTTCTTTATCTTTTATCAGTACATCTAGAAAACCTGCCGGAGTAAACCCGTCCAAACTGCACGATTTGATAAAGTGCAGGATAAAGTTTTTATGTTGATGATGTGTAGCTATAAGTTACAGTTTAAACAAACCGTCTCAGAGCAAAGAACAACAAATTAATTGTTCCTTATAGACGATGCTATAAACTCATACGAGCAGAGCTTTGATATGCAGAATATGACTTTTAATATAATGCAGAAATATCTGCAATGTGTTTTAGGCTCTTTTTTTATTTCCTCTTTGACCTGGATTCCCTTCCATCCATCACCCTCATCTGGAACAGCTCTGTCCTGCATGTGTGTGTGAACTGACCCACATTCAGATCTACTGGCTGTGGGGGCGATGCACCCTCAGAGGACGGGGTAATGACCCCGGCAGCTTCCTCCTCGTGCCCGCAGGTTATACAGCAGCGATTGTATCGATCCGTCTCCACGTTATGAGGCACATAACGGAGCCGAGTGTCTGCTGTAAGATACAGAGAACAGATGAGAAGATTTCATTAGAGATCTAACGCTCTGAACGTTCATCACCAGAGATTTAATCTGAGATCCCCTTGTGTTGAGAAACGATGACGTGCCAGCCATTTTGGTTTGACTCTCAGCTACTACCACATAAAATTTTAGCTCCAGATCTGTAAAACTGACCGAGTTCGAGCCGAATGTCGGCTGGCCGCGGTGGCCATCTTGAATGGGACTGCCTCCAAAAGTTCAGTGACTACTTTCTGAGAGGTTCTGTGAAGTTCTTCCAGTGATTCACGTGATATTTTGCTAACCGTACGGACAAACGCAAGAACAAGCAGAAGTTTTATTTATTTGCCTCTGGCTGTAGACGCTAAATATATAAATGCCTAAAAATAAAAAGTGTCAGGAGTGCGCAGATACAGACATCATAAACGTCCCTGATCAATAATAAACATCTCAAGAAGGAGTTCTATAAAAAGAAGAGGGAGTGAGTTTCTGGACCGGTTGTCAATAGCAACAGTGTTGTGGAGGCAGCTTTACCATCAGATTATAGATGTTTTTAACACTATTTTAAACGGGATATATTTATCTGTTCGCTGTTCTAACATGTATTTACTGCTGGCTGCTGCCAGAATTATAATAATTAGAATAGTAATAATAATTACAATCAGAAAAAGCTTAGTATCATTGCACTGAAATACAGTGAGATTATGTTCGTACAGTCGTCTGAAAGATGGGCAGAGTGCTGCTGAAAGCGCGGCCCCTTATTATGTTTAGATAGAAAAGGGGAAAAGGCCATGAGGATGGATACAGTGGTATTACAAAAAGATCTCTTCACACCATGTCCTTATCAGGACACAATTTAAGACATCAAAAACCTCAACCAGCAGCACATTTATAGACACATATGCATTTGATGACAAGACGGTGAGATTTTTGTTCACGAAGCACTTCCAGATGATCCATAGTAGGAATGCGCAATATGTACGGTACACGGTAGAAACGATAGACATTTAGCCTACGACAGAGATCTGTATTCTACCGGCTAACCTGTGTCTGATGTAAAATCAGAGTTGTCAGATTTAATTGTTACTTTTTTGTGTTGAAAACTTGCATAAGTGGCGTTAAAGTCTTTTCTTGGAGAGCTAAGTAGTGAAGCCACAAGCTAACTACGGCCGGCTTGCCGTAGTGTTGCCGTATTCGGACGCATAGGCAAAACGCTGTGTTCCATAGACAGAGCTTTTCCTCAGTTTACACATATTCTAGGATAAATTTGATAAGTCGGCCTGCTTCGAGGACAAACGGGGGAGTCTGATTCAGATAAGCTACAATTGATATATTTTTTTTCAGTCAGACTGTTATTTCGCGTCAGCCTTGAGTTCTGCTGGTAGTTTCGATCCAGAATGGCCAGATTAGTGGACATTCTACTGGTCCGTGCTTATGAGCCTCATCCAAGGTCGTCCCCAACATGCTTATTAGTTCCAGAAGATGCAGGTGGCCTGCGTTTCTCACAAATCACTTCCATCTTATGGTTTAGCTCGTAAATCAGCTGATTTTGAGTACTCGAAGCACGAACCAGACCTTCACACAAGCTCGGCAGTCTTGCCATGGCCGAAACTGCTGCCACTGTCTTCTTTAATAGACGATAACCTGGGAATCTGCCGGTGCCAAAAAGCAGAAACCCTGCTATCAGGATTCCAAGATTCCAATTATATAAACATCTTCGGCGTCCTCCTGAGACAAAACGGAAAGACACATCAGCTTCCAAACTCCCCACGGATCCATGACGTATGCTGCCGCGTGAATCTCAGCAGGGCATGAGGGTTCTCCAGGACCCTGTTGCTTTGTTGAAAAGATTTTATTGGTTGCGTTGAAAGTCCAGCTCACCAGATCCATGACAGTAGTTTTTCGTTTTGGAAGTGTAACAGGAGCTCCGATACACAGGCAGAGAGCAGAAAAGCAGGAGGAGGACGGGAGAGGGAAAAAAGGTGTCCGTCTTGCACAAGAGCAAGTGAGGAAAAGTGCTGATCCAGGTTCAGTTTTGTGATGTAAGAACACGTAAAGAAAACGGTCTAGAATTGAATTCACGTGATGCTTGTTGTTTTTAGAGAGGGCTCCGACTCTTTAGGTCTTTAGAGCAGCTGAAGTTCTTGCTTGGACTTTAGAAGAGTTGGTGCTCCTCCGCTGTGCACCCAAGTGTCCTTGGGCAAGACGCTGACCACCAAGTTGCTCCTAATCTGCACATTTCAGTGTGTGAATGTGTCTTATGTAAAAGTACTTTATTAATAAAGCACTTTAAAATATAAAAAAACCATACAGATGCAACAAAGTGTTGCAACATTGAACGACGTTTAAGGCGTAAATCAAAGAATAAAGAAAACAGCCAAAAAACAGTCGGGAAGACTAGAAAGTGATGCATAAATACAGTGAGTGGGACACATGCACATGCACATGCACAGCAAGTTATGCGAGTCATGTCAGGAATGTGAATTGTTGGGAGTTCATTGTCTTTTTCTTTGTCTCACACAAACACACAGCATCTGTCCAGCCTGTCGGTAACGTCATCAAATGATTTACTTCATAGAAAGAAACACCTCTGTCTGTGTGTGTGTCTGTCTGTGTGTGTGTCTGTGTGTGTGTCTGTGTGTGTGTGTCTGTGTGTGTGTGTGTGTTATCTTGTGTTTGGGTTTAAGTGGGGGATGTTGCGTCTCCCAGGATAAACGAGCATCACTTTGTGTGAAAGCGTTCATTTTTTCCTGTATTTTCTGGCGTCGTGCGTTGGACGACGGCCCGCTCTCTGTCGTGTGTTTGGAGGACTGAGCAGGGTGAGATTGGCCTAATCTGAGATTAGGCTGTGGCGTTGTTGGAGCAGCAGCAGCAGGGATTAAAGTCACACACACTTTTATGTATATGAACACCGAGAGGTTGTTTTTAACTTGTAAAGTCACTTTCCCAAGGCGATGCTGACCCGACTGGTGTCGTCTGACGAGGACAACGATGAAATATTCATCACAGACTCACAACAAGCCTCGGATTGGGTTTCACCCTGCGTCCTTTTTAGTCTAACTTAGTTTTTTGCTTCCAAAGTG